CCTTTCTTTCAGTGACGCAACTGACCCCTTTAATCCCCACATGTTCACCCAAATTCTGACCTCCATCCCCACTGCTCAATGACCTTGACCTCTGACCCTCGATTCCACCTTCCAACACTGAAGACCAGACACTCCACCTCGCTCTGGGTTCTGACTCCCAGCACCTGACCTTCAACCCCCGAACTGAACCTGAAGCTTTTGGTTCGCTGCTGCGGCGGGCCTGAGCTGACATTGGTCTCCCCCGCCACGGCAGGTGTATGTTCGAAGCACTGACTTTGACCGCACGCTGGAGAGTGCTCAGGCCAACCTCGCAGGGCTATTCCCTGAGGCTGCCCCGGGGCGCCCAGAGGCGGCCTGGAGGCCCATCCCTGTGCACACGGTGCCCGTCACCGAGGACAAGGTCAGGAGGCTGGACAGACGCAGGGGGTGGGAGGGATGGAGAGAGACCGAGACCCCTAGGTGGAGGGAGCCGGTGGTTGGGAGAGGCTGTGCGGCCCCCGGCAGCCTATGCTGGCTGGGAGCCGTGAGACCGTCCCTGCATCAGAGCTGTCCGGCTTGGGTGAGCCGCCATCCCCGTGCTGTGCAGCCAGATTGGGGAGGGGCCACATATTTTGAAGAGAGAGATTGGGACGAGGGCTCCACAGCCCCAACTCCCCGCGCTGTGACTGTGGGGTCCCAGTCACGCTGTCCTCTGAGCCTCAGTTTCTCCCAGCTGCTGAGGTTCCCCACGCGCAGCTGTCCCCGATACCATGAGCTGCTGCGAGAGGCCACGGAGGCTGCCGAGTACCAGACCGCGCTGGAGGGCTGGACAGTGAGCGGGGGCCGGCGGGGCGGCCCATGGGAGGGCGTGGGGGGGGGCAAGGCGGGGCAGGGAGGGGTGAGGAGGCCCATCAGACTCACCCAGCCCCGGGGCATCCAGGACTTCCTGACTCACCTGGAGAACTACACGGGGCTGTCGCTGGTCGGGGAGCCGCTCCGCAGGGCGTGGAAGGTTCTAGACACACTGATGTGCCAGGTGAGCCCCCGCCCCAGCCACCCAGCCCAGTGATTAAGGGCACCTGGATTCAAATCCCAGCTTTGCTGCTCACTACCTGTGTTCCCTCAGGCAAGTCACTTAACCCTTGGTGCCTCAGTTTGCCCATCTGCACAGTGGGGATAGCAAAACCCGTTACAACACCCTTTGGGGTTTCTGTGAAGATCAAAACGGGTTAATCCACGTGATGTGCTTAGAACAGTGCCTGGCACACAGTGAGGTCTGCAGGAAGGCTTGAGGCTACGTGTTTGTCATTCCTCCTCTGTTAGTTCTCTTGTGGGAAGAGCTCCCAAACCCCAAAATTGAGGAGCCGGTGCTGACCTCAATCGGCGTGATGCTCTTCAGATAGATAGTCTTTGCTTACTCCCTTCCATGAGAATTATCCTAGTTGCACGGTGGGAATTAGCAGTGTGTGTGAACAAGAGGGTTGCCCAACCCCCACTGGATGTGTTCTGAGGGAGATGGTATTGCCACCATGGGAACCTTCTAGATTCCAAAACATCTGAAGTTTGAAACACCTCTGGCTCCGTGCATGAGGGCTCCTGGGTTGTGGGGTGATGGTCATTACTATTGTTGATTAATGATTGCTATTGGCCATGACTTCCGGACCAGCCCCAGCCCATGAGGGGTTCGGAAGAGGGGTGGGAGAGAGGACTGCAGCTCAGGGGGACAGCACAGGCACTGGGAAGGCCTGAGGGGACGTGACGAGCTCAGGATATCCCAGTCACTTTGTCTTCTCTCCCTGTCTCTCTCCAGCAAGCCCATGGTCTTCCCCTCCCATCCTGGGCCTCCCCGAACGTCCTACGGACACTAGCCCAGATCTCCGCTTTGGATATTGGGGCCCACGTGGGTCCACCCCGGGCAGCCGAGAAGGCCCAGCTGACAGGGGGTGAGGTGTGGGGCTGGGAGGCTGGGAGGCCAAAGCACCTTCCTCTGGGGGATTCTCAGCACTCTGTTCTTGCCCTCTCAGGGATCCTGCTGGATGCCATCCTTGCCAACTTCTCTCGGGTCCAGCGCCTGGGGCTGCCCCTCAAGATGGTTATGTACTCAGCTGTGAGTCTTTGGGAAGGGAGGCAGTGCCACGTGGGCACAGGGATGAGGGGGATGGCAGATGGCAATGTGGGTGAGGAAGAGCTGGTGGGTGGTGTCAGTGGAACCTCAGCCCACTGCCCTGGGTAACTCCTATCTCCAAACCATACTCTCAGACCATATCACTAGAGGTACGCAGTCTGGAACGAGGGAGGTGATGGTGTTATAAGAGAATTTAGCTCTTCTGGAAGGACAAGCTGTTTAACTGAGCTGCCTGATCATATTTTTGCATCTCTTTGAGCAATGTTCATTAAAGGATCCCCTGTAACTGGTGGAACTGCCTCCAGGATGAGCCGATTTGGGGGTGGGGGTTAGTTCTAAGAGATCTGAGGGACATCTGGGAGGAAGCCAGATGTACAAAGCTAGAGTTCAGGAGAGAGGAGACATCAAGAGAAGAGCCGTGGCTCAGCCCTGGGATCCACCTGCAGCACGACAGCACTCTGCTGGCCCTCCAGGGAGCCCTGGGTCTCTATGACGGGCACACCCCACCGTATGCAGCCTGCCTCGGCTTTGAATTCCGGAGGCGCCTCGGGGACCCGGACGAAGATGCAGGGTAAGGAGGGGGTGACGCCCGGGAATGGGCGGAACAGAACTGTCTCAGAGATGGGGTTCCAGGCGGAGGGGGATTTGCGTGGGATGGCACGAGGAGGTTGACAAGGTAGGACTCAGGAGCCCAGTGCCTCCCGTTTGGCTGCTCCCCTCCAGGTTTAAGTCAGTGGCGGGGGAGGCGAGGAGGGGCCCGGGTGCCACCACCTCCTGTCTTCCCCCAGGAACGTCACCATCTCCCTTTTCTACCGCAACGACTCCACCGGCCTGCCCCTGCCCCTCAGCCTTCCCGGGTGCCCACGCGCCTGCCCGCTAGGCCGCTTCCGCCAGCTCACCGCCCCGGCCCGGCCTCCGGCTCACGGGGTCCCCTGCCACGGCTCCCCTGAGCCTGCCACCCCTGCAGGTGACGGCCACTGGCACTCGGGTGGGAGTGTGGGGGGACCCAGGTCCCGAGACTCACACTCCCGTGTTCTCCCTGCAGCCACTGTGGTGCCCCTGCTGGCCGGGGCTGTGGCAGTGCTGGCAGTGCTCAGCACGGGGCTGGGCCTGCTGGCCTGGAGACCCAGCTGCCTGCGGGCCTGGGGGGGGGCCCGTGTGAGCTGGGAGCCCGGCCACCCTCCCCCCCACAGCTGGCACTGCATCCCAACACGTCTGCACCCCCCGCGGCTTTGGCTTCCGTGACTTACTGCGTGCGCCTGTTCTGGGGAATTGAGGGGGTGCGCCCCGGCCGGGAAGCGGCAGGCCGTCGTGCGCGCTCCTGCGTGTCGGCGTCCGTGTGCGCACGGGCGTGCGTGAAGGGCGGTTTGTGTACACGTACGTGACACGTGTGTATACACGTGTGCTTCCTGGGTCCTGCGCACACAGGTGCACGCAGGCTGCTGGCACATACATGCACGCACCCACCCAGTATCTCCGTGCATGGTCAGTGTGGGGGTGCGCCTGCACGTGGGGGTGCTGTGTACTCACGCACAGCTCTGCACACGCATGGGGGCATATGGTACGTCAGGACCCGTGGGGACATGCGTCTGTAGGTACAGCACACGCGGTGCGCGCACCTGCTCGGGGAGCCCCTCCACAGGTCACACACTCTGTGGAGACCTGCCTCCTGGGAGTCACTCTGGCTTTGGGGACCCTTGCAGGCCCTCAGTGCAGTAGACTGCCGTCACCTTTTTCTCCACCCTCCGGGTGCAGTGGGGTGGGTCAGGCCCGCCGTGTATAGGGACAGAGCCAGACTCCCAATTCATCAGACCCCACAACCCTTGCCATGAAGCTCCTGGAAGCCGGCAGTGCAGGCGGGACTGGGAATACCGCTCAGGGCTTCCAGCACAGCACTGGCTCCGACCCGCTTGGGGGTGGTCTGCGGCAGCACCCACTGGCTGCCACGTGCCTATTTAAGTGAAGTAAAGTGGAGAACTCAGGTCCCAGCTGCACTGGCCGCAGTTCAAGGACTCTGGTCACACATGGCTGGCAGCTGCCGCGCTACTCAGAGGTAGATAGGGCCTCTGTCATCACAAGCATAGCTCGGGGCAGCACTGGAGACTAAGAAAAGCCACTGCACACCTAGTAACAGCAGCTTCTGTTCATGGTGTTCCTGCACTTAACTGCTCATCCCAGGGGGGGAGGTGCCACCTCCCCACCACATACCAAGCACTGAATGGCCCAAATCTGGGGCACCAGCCCCCTCCTGGCCATACCAAATGTGTGGCACTGATGGTCATGCCTCGGTCATCAGCTGCATGAATGGACACAGCACTACGATCAGTGGGGAGGCTGGTGTGCAGCTGCCCAATAGACTGGGGTAGCGGGGGGTGATCAGAGGTGAGGGGGACAGGCTTATAGACAGAAGCCACTCCTAGCCACCAGATGCCCAAACTTCCACCTGTGGGGAGTAAGGTGCCAGGGCCCTTGGACAGGGGCCAGCAGCCCTGTCAGCACAGCTTAGAAAAGCTTGGGACCTCCCTCCTTCATGCCCATCCCTGGGTGGGGACCGGGCTCTCAGAACTTCCACACCACCCTGCCCATCATTGTCTCTGGAGGCATGGAGCCATCACAGGGCCTCAGAAAGTGTCATGCACTTCGGGGGGGGGGGCGGGGAGGAGAAGCATCTTCTTGCTTAGAGATTCAGACCCAAAGTTCTAGCAGGTTCCCCTACCCTGTTTTGAGTGGCCCCAATAGGAGCCCAGCCTTCCCAGCATACTAGGATAGCCCCAGGAGATGGAAGACTTTCCTGGGGCCATGGTGCATGATCCTTATTACCCTTACCCCAGGAGGGTTTTGGATTCACACCAGGACCGCACCACAACCCCAAGCAGACACCACAGTCCACACACAGCAATGCTCACGTTATTTTAATGAGTTCCATGTGCCTAGCGCAGCCTGCCAGGGTGGTTGTCTGTGCTCACGAAGCTGTGATTCTTGGCCCCAACACCTTTAATCCAGATGTAACAGACACTGGACAGAGGTCACACATCCACCGAGAGAAATCAGATGGGACTGGCTCCAGGTGAGCAAACAGCAGAAGTCCACTTTAAAATGGAAAGGAATTGTAAAACAATAATAATAAAACTTAAAAAAAAAAAGTCTTAAGGGAAAAACCATTCCAAGAGAAAGAAGCGTCCCTAAAACCAAAGTGTTGCATATACTTAAATTATCAGGTAAAAACATTGCATTTAAAAAATACCTTAAGAAAAAGCGTACAAACTTCAAGGTGCTTTCATATCATGGGCTGTGGGGTCTCCCCAGCTGGCCTGTAGTGCTTTGGGGGCCCGTGTGGCCGAGGGGTGGGTGCCTACCCACTGTGCCAATTGGACTGAAATGTAACAGACTAAAAGGAACAGGTTGCGCCCCAGGGGGAACAAGGCAACCAGGGCTATAGGTGGGCTCGCCTTCCTCCACCACTGGCTGGTGACACGTGTGGGGTGGCTGGGGGCAAGGACAGTCCTCTCTCCTGGGAACCTCGAATACAGTAACAGGGCAGCCTGCCCTCGGGAGGCGGGCCATCCCTCAGTCCACGCGGGGGGTGGGGGGCATGCTCAGGAGACACTGGCTCTGACTCTGTCTCCCCTGGAACCCAGCCTCCCTCCGCCACTGAGTACCATCTAGAAGGACAAGCCTAGGAGGCCTAGGAGGCCTAGTCGTGCCGCACGGGCGGCTCCTCCCCACAGGCCTGGTCTGAGTAGGGGGGAGGCGGGGGCTGCTCTTCCCCCAGCATGTAGGTGGGGTGGCTGCGGCTGCGCTTGGCCTCTTTGATGTACAGCTCAAGGAGGACCTTGGTGGGCTGCTTGTCCACCCGCTCCTTGGGCACACCGTGGCTCAGCAGCCAACCCATGAGGTCCTTGCGCGTTGGGTTGGGCCCCAACATGAGCTTGGCGCGGCCCGGCTGGCTCTGGCGCCAGAGCAGGCCCACATCGGCGATGGTCTGGATCTCCATCACCGCCTCCAGCACCGTCATACCCTTGACCAGCAGGCTGACGAGCGAGAGCCGCAGCTCAGAGGGTGCGGCCGTCAGCAGGCGCCGCTGGAGGCCCTGCGTGAAGGGCACGTCCTCGGGCGCGGGCCTTGGCCCCTGCTCTCCTGCAGGAGGGGAGGGCGGCTCGCGGTAGATCCAGTCCAGCATGCCCAGCTCACGCACCAGCTGGATACCCTCCTCCATGGTGGTCCAGGGGCGGAAGGGCAGCTCGGTGGCCTCGAAGTGCAGGAAGGACTCCCAGCGCCGGCGCCAGGCCAGCAGCAGCCAGGTGAGCAGGGCCTTGCAGCTGCCCCGCAGGGTCTTACAGCGGTAGTTGAAGATGGCATCGCTGGTCAGGTCGCCCAGCAGGGCTAGCTCTCCAGAATTCAGGGACAGGGCCGGCCCACCCTGGTCATAGACGCGCAGGATCCAGGTGATCATGAGCTCATTGGGGTTCTGCTTGAAGCGCCGAGAGATGGCCAGGAGCTCGGTGTATGTGTAGTAACGGTCCCCCCGCCCTATCTGGGTGGGCGCCAGTGCTCTCTCGGCCATGGTCACAGCTGTGCCCTGCAGGGAACAGTAGGAAGCCCAGAGGGGCGCTGGCTCAGGGGCTTCAGGGAAGGACAGAGGTCATCAGGTGGGAAAATAGTCACACCCTCCAGGACCTCCCCAGAGTGGGACCCCTCAGATCCCTGGGTGTCAAAGGTCCCAGAGGGCACTGTGTCCTCAGGGGAGGTCAGAGCCCAGTGCTGGACATCATGGGGGTCCCAAGCACAGCCCCTTCAGAAGCCCTGACAGCGTCAGGGCAACCTCTCTCATAACCGCCTCCCGTTGCCACCCCCCCACTTCACAGCGATACTGTGAAGAGTAAGTGAATCTAATGCTTAGCACTAGGCCCAGCTCTAAGTAAATGCTCAGGATTTGCTTTTATGTTATTACCATAAAACGACAAATTTATTACCATTATGGTATTAACAAGAAGAGAGACCCTCTTCTGTTCTTACCAAGCACAGGGATGGCGGCGCTGTTCAACTCCTGGAGGAACCACCTGCAGACCAGAATGGGTCAGAGAGGTTAAGAGCAGGTCAGCGGGGCCCAGGGCAACCATGGCCCTCCATCTCTCCCTCCCCAGAGTGGGGGGCCCCTCAGACCCCCCGGGTGTCAAAGGTCCCGGTGGGGGCACTGTGTCCTCAAGGGAGGTCAGAGCCCAGTGCTGAGCATCATGGGGGCCCCCAGTGCCCTTGTCCACCTCCTCACTCAGGTCCCAGAGCCACCTGCCTCCAGTCCTAAGGGGGCTGACAGACAAGAGCTCATTCAGGTAGGACAAATGACCAATACCTGGCCATTGGGATGCCAAGGAGCAAGCCCCCATCAGGTGCCTTTTGATGCCATACCCCCCCAACCTCATCTCCCCTTGACCACCCCTCACTGTGGCTCATCCATGGGTGTCACTTGTATGATCTGCAGCAACTGACTTTAGCACCCCCCTCTCCCAACACCGGGGCTGTTTCTCCTCCTGGAAAATGGAAGAGTTTTGCCTGACAGACCCTTGAAGGGAAGGGGGCCTCCCTCCTCTGCTCAGATCCAAGGAGCGCCCTCCTGAAAACACCCCCATGTCTGCTCTGCCCGCACCTCAGGTCTGTTCCACACCCCCCACGCACCATCCAAAGCCTCCAGTTCTGCTCGTCTCCCCTCACCTGTCCTTGCCGAACAAATGGGACACTTCCCACTCCACTTTCCCAGAAATTCCCTCTCAGCAGCAATGAACGGTCAGAATTCTGCAGGGGGAAACCCCAGGCTAAGTGCACCAGTCCTAAGACACTCATGATCTGAAATCTGAGCTCACTCATCACGGAAAAGTAGTTTCTCCTCCCTAAAGTGCTGTCAGCAAGAGCTGAAACCTCCAAGGACGCCAGAGAATACACTTGCAGTTCTGTTCCCAACAGAAAACAAGCGTCCCAGAGCAGAGAACACTTGTTTCTTTTCAGGTAGCAGGTCTCTATGCCCATTTTGATTTAGTTCTTTGAAACACTTCGGCAACATTCCCCAGATAAATGGTCCCCTTAAACAATGGTTATTGTGTAAATCAAGGGTAACTTTAATAACTGTATCAATTTATATATACAGGATTCTTGGGAAGCTAAGCTCTGCTTAAAAGTACAAGGTATGCAATCTATAAAACCCTCAGTATTAACAGTGATAAATGTTGCCAGCTTGTTTCTTTTTTCTGCTGACTTTGGAAATTAGATTTCTGATTAGTCCTTTTCCTTGAAACCCAAATAGATGTTTTTCTTCCACAATCTATGTATTTTCCATCTAATTTAACCCTTACCTTTGAAGATGGGAAACATCACTGCTGCCCCCACCCTTTCCCCAACTGTGCAGAGGATTCAGGCCCATATGCTCCTAATGTGCCTACTCTACAGATTTAGAAACTGAGGCTCAGCAGACCAATCAGTTGTCTAGTTCTTCAAGCCCATGAACAGCAGAGCCGGGATTTGGACCCAGGCCCATTCTGGCTACATTCCCACTGCTATAAATGAACAGGGAATTGCATGTACATCCCCAGCACAAATGTTGGCACAGCAGAGATAGCTGATGTGAAGTCACCCCAAATGAAGGCATTTTAGATGGGGGGGGGGAAGCGTGTGGGTCAGGGAGTGGAAGCAAGGGTTCTCACCAATATGGGGTCATAGTAAGTGGTCCCTCAGCTTGAAGATACACCTGTAACACAGGAAGGACATGGTGAGGGTGGAGGAAGAAAACAGTCTGGGGGAGGGGCATCCAGAGACCTCAAAACCAGGGCCTCTCAGATCCCCAGGTGTCAAAGGTCCTGAGGGGCACTGCATCTTCAGGGGTGATCGGAGCCCAGTGCTGGACATCATGGGAGCCCTGGTCCCCAACGCAACCAGATCCCAAGGCCACTCACCTTCAGGAACAGAGGCCAAATTAACTGCACTTTAAGCGACTGGGAAACACAAAACCCATCAGGAAGGTATGAAAGCCCCCTATGGGAGACATCACTGATACCCCACCTCCCCAGTGTCACAGGTCCACAGGGGACTGTCCTCAAACCCACTACACAGAGAAACCCCAGCGTCTATCAGCCCTTGCCCAGTTTTACAGATTTTCAGCATTGGCTATACCTGTTAGTAACCCGAAACAGTGAAAGCTGCTAGGACACACATCCATTCCTTGGAAGAACCTATTGGCAGATAAAAGGAGGGAGCTAGTCTAGGAAAAAAACCCCTAAGACATAAGCAGCATATGCAATGACCAGAGAGCCTTTACTGCACCATTTTGGAACAAATCAGCTGAGGAAGACAATTTGGAGAGGACTTCGGAACCACAAATATAATAAAGTGTTAGCTATTTTCGAGGAAATTAGAAACATGCCTTCAAAACAGGAAGCACAAAGAAAGCAACCGTGGCAAAACGTGACAACTTAAAACGTCTGTCCAGTTCCCAGCACACTTGAGGATTTTAATGGAAACAAGTGAAAGGACTACATCGGACATAGCGACAGAGGGCGCGCCAGTGATGAAATCCTCACTCCTGACACGGCCACAGGGAGGATCAAAGATTTTCCAGGGGGCTGCTGGAAGGGCGAAGAAACTCAGCTAGAGGGGATTTTTGCTGGGTCGTGGTGGGGAGAAAGAAAATCAGCCAGCTGCCCCAGGGCTGGGTCTCCTCGGCAATCAGGAAACGGATGGACGTCCACGACCCCAAGGGCCAATTAGCCCAGAAGTAACGTTTCACAAAACTGATGCATGGAATGAACACTAAAACTCCGGTATCTGTAGGGATCGTGTCAGAATGATTCCTGAGGGTAAACAAAGGCCCCATTTGCTTTCTCCTAAAAGAACACCCACGTGGTTCTCAGAAACAACCCAGTAATTCATTTCGAGACTCCGCTCCCCCTCATTCCTTAGAAAGCCCTGGGATCCTGCCTCTACCTGCCGCCCCCCCGTAACCTTTGTTCTAGGTTGTACAGAATGCCAGCCACGTGCAATCGAAAAAACAACAGCGACTGCCTAAGGAAGACACGTGCAGCTAGCACGGGAGCGGAAAACCTCAGAAAGAAAAACTCAGTGTCACACGCGCTCTCCACAAAGACAGCCCCTCCCCCAGCCCCCCAAGAAAAATGGACAAGATGGCGGAGCCCTGCGACGTGGGAAGCAGAGATGGCGCAGCCGGCCTGCGGTGCAAAGGCGCGCTAGCTCTGGAAGCCCTCATTCGTTCCGGCGGCAAGAGTCCCCCCCACCCTGAGCGCCCTTCCCAAAGGGTGGAACAGAGAACCCCAGGCTCGCGTCGGAGAGCACGCTGGGGTCTCACAAGGCCCCTGACGCCGTCCACGCGACGACCTGGCCGCCCCGCCGCAGCCCCGGGGCACCTCACGACAAGAGCGACCCAGATCCCAATGCCCAGCCGCGCGAACGCAGGGGAGCCCAGAACCCAGGACATACTCACCCATCCTTCACTCTCTCCAAAGCGTGCGCGGGCGGCCTCGAGTCCCGCTTTATAGTGCGCGCCGCTCGCAGGGCCGCGCCGCACGCGCCCGCCCGGACTCCGCCCCGAGGCCCCCACCACGCGCGCCGGTGTCGGGAACCCAACTTTGGCGCTTGGGGAAGCGAATAATGCCTGTTCTCGCTAAAATCTTCCTGAACAGACCATTCATGATGTTGTCCCTGGAATCGGGTAAAAGGAGTAGTGGGATATCGGGCCCCGTTGTCCTGTCATGAGCGTCAGGCTATTCTGAGGACAGCACCAAAGGCGGGCTGAAAAGGGGCAGGACCCCGAATGCGGACGGAGCCCGACCCGGAGGCAACTGGAACTGCCAGCGCGGCAGCGGCGTGAGCGGTGGGGGCTAGAGGCGGGGCCGACCCAGACAGAGGCCCGGCGCAGGGTGGGGGCGGGGCCAGCGCGGAGATTGACAGGGGACGTTCTGGGGCGGTGCTCGCGTGGCGCAGAATGAGAGGCTGGTCCTGAGCAGCGAGAGGAGGGGTCGGTGGCTGGACGCCGGGGCTGGAAGGCTGGACTTCTGGATCTAAGGGAGGAGGGGGCTGGGGGCCAGGACCTCTGGGCTGACTGAGGGCTGGATCTCCTGCCCTCCCCCCCCTCCCAGTTTAGATGGTCTAAGACCTGGGGGCTTGGATTCTTGGTAGGGTCGGAGCTCTAAGGAGTGTCTTTCAAACGACATGATTGTAAACATTTTTTTTTTCAAAGATAAAAAATGAAACTTCTTCACTTCAGACCCACTCACCAGAGTCGCCACTGTCGATGTGGTGTAGACTTTTTACTTTATGGCTACACACACGCATACACATATGCTCCGCTCGCCTACTCCACTTTGTCCCATAAATAGTCTTCCCCTTCATCAGTACGTACAGAATGACTTCATTCCTTAAACAGTGACAAAGTAGTCCCTTCTGTGAGTGGAACACACATTGTTTAGCTGGTCTCCCTTGTCATTTGGATTGTTTTCTTACTTCTAGTGAGGAGATGCCTCCCATGAAGCTTATGGTCTGAAGTAAGAGACCTATACCCTTCTGTTAAAAGAAAATGAGACATTTCCTTCACTGGCTTTTGCCTCACTCAGAGAAAAGCAAAGCCCTCACTGTGGCCCACAAAGCCCAGAGTGACCTGGCCGCTGTTGCCCCTCTGCCCCTGCCCCCCTCTCCCTTGCTCAGGCTGCTCTAGTCTTCTTGGAACCTGCCAAGGAAGGACATTTGTACCTCAGGACCTTTGCACTTGCTGTTCCCGCTGCCAGGAATCCTGTCCCCCAATCTCTCCCCCTGGCTCCCCTCTCTTCAGTCATGTGTCTGCTCAGATGTCACCTTGGCAGGGAGCCCCCCACTCCTTCCCAGACCCATCTCTCTTCCCCTCCTTTATTTTTCCTCATAGCACGTATCCCTAACATACCTCTTTATTTGTGGGCATATATTTTTGCCCCTCTGCCAAAATGTCAAGCCATAAAAACAAGGATTTGTATCTAGTTTGATCACTGCTATCGATCCAGTGTCTGCCACATAGTTGCAGCTCAATTTTCATTAAAGATGAAGAAATTTGAGAACCTTTTGTGGGAGAGAAGGGGCAGGATTATTTTAGCAACCCTTAAAGAGCACAAACTATGGACTAGGTGTTACGTTAAACTCCATCTAGGTTGAAGTACTATTATTACCCCCATTTTACAGATGAGGAAACAGACCTGATGGTTCAACAGAGCCAATAAGTGGCAGAGCCTAGACTCAACCCTTTCCAGCTTGACCACTGTGTGAGAAGGAGATAGAGGGGACCCCCAGGTGGAGACCCTGCAGGGGGACCCAGGCAATAAGATAAAATTTGTACCTGCCCTGCTCAGCAAATGACTCTGATAGCAAAAATACGCTACACCGAACAGCCTTAAAGATAGGTAGAGAAATAAACGGATAATTTTTGAAAAGAACAGCCCTGTGTTGGGGGACGGTTAGGGGAGAAGAGGAAGTGGTGATAAGGTTTGCTGGTAAAGGCAGGAGGCGAAGTGTAGGTGCGGGGAGAATTTGCCTCAGAAGGGGCACGTTACTGGGGGTCATGGAAGTAAAAGATAAAGGCTTGAGGGCCTGGAGAGACTCAGCTACTCAACAAATATTGATTGGTACCATCTGTATGTATGCCAGGAACCGCTGGCTCAGTTCCTTTGTTGACCTTGTGCCTTTCATCTCTTTCTCCTGAGTTCCTTCCCTTACCTATCCCTCTACCCCAGAGGGCCCAAGGGATGGGCCCACGGAGAGATGGCATTTCCACAGAACCCTTAACAACGTACTGAGCTAAGAGAATATTCTGGACAAAAAATACAGATTATTTAAATATACTAATTATTAATCTGAGTGGGGGTATTCAGAGGGGACTGAAAAGGGCAAGACTCTCAACTAGAGAGCAGGGTTGTCAGGTACTTGGCAGGGAGCCATGGGGACAGGCCTGGAGTGTTGGAGTCATTCCCATGTCCTAAGTCCAGATGGCCTGGAGCGCCAGGGTGGACCAGAAATTCATGTAGTTCAGATAGGAAAAGAAACCTGGAGAAGGAAGAGAGCAGAGGGGGTGAGAAGCAGAGTTCACAGCTCACCCCTGATCCCAATTCCCTCCCCAAGCCCAATCACACCCCTACCCTGTCTGCAATCCATTTCCAAACCCTAACCCGACCCCGTCCCCACATCCAGCCCTATGCCCACCCATCCCCACCCTCATCTCCCCAATCATGTTTCCCACCGCTGTCCCGTTTTATCGAGCCCTGTCCACAACCCATCCCCATCCCAAACTCTGTCCCACTCAGTCCCTGTCTGTCGTCCTGAAAACCCGTGCCCACACCAAACCCCACCCAAGCCCAGACCAGTCATCAGGAAGAGAAAGACGCCGATCCATGCCAGGTAGAAGCTGCGCCCCAGCCTGTAGGTCATGCCCTCCTGCAGGTACCCACTGGCCTGCATCAGGTAGAACAGGATACCCAAGATGATGCTGGTCCCTGCACGAGTACAGGTGTTAGGAAGCTGAGCATCAGGGGTGTGCAGACCCCTGCCCATAGTTGTGTGGCTGCCTACCCCTTGCTCAGTATTCTTGTTCTTTCTGTTGCCTCCCTGTACCTCTGTGCACAGGTGGGAAAGGAAGTTCCTTCCCAATGTCATGGTAGAGCACATTGGAAGCACAAGTCTTGGTCTTTAACCAGGCCCTGGTGGTGTCTAAAATCATAGGCTTTGGGGCCGACAGACCAGAGCTCTCCCTCCCACCTTAGGGCAACCACTCCATCTCTCTGAGCCTCGTTTCCCTCCTCTGTAAAGTGCATGTAATCATAAAAGTCATCACCTTGGGCTATCATGAGGAGTTGTTGAGATTGGCACATTTCCTGACACACAGTGAGCCCAGAATTGAGCTTGATTCTTATCATTGTATTGGGTCTTTAATTTTGGGCTTCTCTGAAGAAGGGAACAAGAAACCCACTCATTCTGGATATTTCAACTTTTAAAATTTTTGGGTAGTGAAGTCCTGGGTGATTTTTAAATTTATGTATTGAAAGATAATATAGGAGGTGTTTTCCATTTAATTAAAAGGAATGGGCAGAAATGTTTTTTTTTTTGTAGAAAAATGTCTTATATTAGTTGACGTAAAACTGAGGTGTTTTCTACCCTTTGTGCCTTATATTTCAACAATTGGGAAGAGCTACCAGACAAACTGAATAAATACTTTTTGCACACAAGGAAACAGGAAGCTGAGTGTTTCCTATTCTTGGCTTTGCTATCACTCTCCAAGAATGTTTTCCTGATACAAATAAAAGTTGTGGTCAATTACTACAAATGACAGGAACATAATATCCTTCATTTCCAAATTAAAGTACTGCCCCACCTCCTTTTCTAAAAAGTGTATTTGGCATGCAAATGGAAAACTAGACCCTTCTCCTCCTCCTCCCCCCCCCTTCTTTCTTCTTTTTCAACTAGACTATTCTAATCAGAGTATCAACTTTGAGTTATTTGGGTCAGGTGGGAGGATTGTCATGGTAAGGACTTGGGCAAAGTTAAATAGCTACCGTCAAGTACCAATATTTTCTAATTCAATCCTCACTACACCTCCATGTGGTAGGAGATTTTATCTCCATCCTATGGATGAGAAAACTGTGGCTCAGAAAGACTAAGTAGCTTGAACACAATCACAGAGAAGGTGGTGGTGGGGAGACAGGATTTGGGATGGGGTTGGAACTGGAAATGGGTAATTGGGTAGAGGTTGAAGTTTAAGTGATAAGGATGGAGGATGGGGTTGGGGGTGGGTTGTGGTGGAGTTTGAAATGAGGTTCACAGGTGATAGGGTTGGGTTGAGTTTGGAATGAGTGTTGAGGAGGGTTAGGTATGGGGTTGAATTGGGTGTTGAGATTTGGAAAGGGGTTGGAGATGGTAATGGGGATGGTTTGGAGATGGAAAAGTAGATAGAATTGGAATGCAGTTTGGGATGGGGATGGGCATCCCCAAGGGGGTAATGGGTGAGTCTGAGATTTGTTGGTGATAGAGATGGGAGGCAAAGTGGAAGCTGCTATTGGGGCTAGAGATGGGGTTGTGTTGGAAGTTCATATTTTTTATGGGGATGGATTGGAGATTTGGAGGGACATAGGATTGGGATTGGTGATGAAAGTGAGGATGGGGATGGGATTGGAATGTGGTGGGGGAGGGGATTGGATATTATGATGGGCGCTAGGCAAGGTACTTCTCGCCTCGGTTCCTGAGGGAAAAATCTCAGTGCCATGCCTGCCACGATGCTGATGATGACGTTGGAGAAGTCTAGCAAGGGCAAGTTGGAGCTGGTGAAGAAGATGATGTTTATGAGTAAAATGCAGAGGCAGAAGCTGGCGATGCTGGCGAGGAGGAGAAAGGCCCAGGCAAAGTCCAACAAATCTGGGGAAGGAAGAAAACCAGGAACACTAAAAGAGGCACTTGGGCCCTGAGCATGGGGGAGAGGGTCCCCAGTGAGGTCGGGAGTATTCATGAACCCTCTCCCTTGCAGATTCTTCATCCTCATTTTATGAAAATTGAAATTGGGCTCTAGAGAAGGGATATTAAGGCAGATGCCTTTAGCATGGAGGGAACACCTCTGGGTCAATGAGAACAGGTTATTGGGCAGGGAGAGGTGGGATGAGCATTGAGGAACCAGGTCTGTGTTATGAGGGCAGGTTGCCTGGGGTGAAAAAGCCTCAGGATAATGTGTAAGATCCTAGGGTTATGAGGACTGTGAGGTTGGGCATCATGGAGGTGAAGATGAGCATAGGGCAATGAGGATGGTTCTGAGGCAGTGAGGATCATCTGGGGGAAGGGATGACTATCTGGGGGGTAGTGAGAACTATCAAGAGAAGGGAAGACTAACCTGGGGCAGTGAGGACCCTCCCAGGGAAGGCAAAGAAGGGTCCCTGGGACAAAGAGGAGAGATGAGTCCCAGGAATGGTGAGTATAGAGCAGGCCTTACAAGCATTCTGGTCGTACTCATGTAGGCAGGAGATGTCAGGGCACCGCACAAAGAGGATGGTGTTGATGGGGATGGTCAAGGAGCCATCAGGGTGCCCAGGAGGTCTGAGTGGCACCTGGAAGTGGATCCAGGGCTGGCCCAGAGAGATGAGAGCGATGATCATCATGCCAACCAGGCTCAGTGCCAGGCTCAGCTGGCGGCTGATCTTCTTGGCTCCATGCAGCAGCCGCCAGCCCATGGGCAGCTGTGAATGGCTGTATCTACCCTTGTTCTGAAACCTGTGGCAGATTGCCCACCACCAGTGTCAGCACTGAGTCCAGCCACCCAGCTCAGCCACCCCAGGTCCATCTGCCAGACCTGTCCCATCCAGTCTAGCCTTCAGACTTTCTTGTCTCTATGTCCAATCCTCCATTCCCTGTATCCCCCAGGTCCTGCCTCTAGAACCTGCTCACCCACATTCAGCCTCTAGGCTCCCTTGCCTCCAGATCTAGCTTCCAGACCCTGCCACCCCTACATTCCATTCCTAGGTTGAATCAATCACAGATCCAGCCTTTATGCCAAGCACCACCCAGAGCCAACCTTCAGATTGAGCTTCCTGCCACACCTGGGTCCAACCTCCAGCCTCTAGTGTATTGGTTTTAGGTCTGGTCCCTGACCTTTGAGTGCTGCCCCTCCCCCAGAATTCTAGCCCAGAACCTGGCCCACTGCCTGGACCCCTGCCTCTCACCCGCCAGAATTGATCTCATTGGATCTGCTTGACTGTATGCTCTGGATATTGTTGTCTAGAGTACTTTTGTTGAATTGGGCGCTGTCCACAGAGCCTCTGAAACTCTCCTGAGAGGTCCGGATGATTGAATCGACGCTTTTGATACTGGCCGTGGGGCTGTGAGTAATTGAAGGGAGGGCATCGACTTTGGCCTGGATTGGCAATGTGAGGCCTTGAATACTTGAGCAGGGACTCCAGCTTGTTGTCCCATGGTTATTGCTACTGGCTGGACTGCTGCTGTAGGTAACTGACTCTATATTGGTCAGGGAGTTGTGAGTAATTAACAGAGAATTGTGAATGCTGAAGTAGCGAGTTTGGAAAATGGGTGGAACATCTTGGGTATTGAAACAGCGACTGTAGGTAACTGATGGTGCATCTTGGATACTGACCCGGCGACTGCTAACAGCGGCTGGTGTGTTCTCAGTACTGACCCGGCGACTGTTGATAATGGACAGTGTGTCTTGGATACTGCCCCAGCGACTGCTGACTAGTGGAGATTCTTGGAGGCTGACCCGGCGATTGTGGATAGTAGGCAGGGGTTCTTGGATGCTGACCCGGCGATTGTGGATAATGGGCAGGGGTTCCTGGATGCTGACCTGGCGATTATGGAGAGTGGGCAGGGGTTCTTGGGTGCTGACCCGGTGACTGTGGAGAATGGACGGAGAGCTTGGGGTCTCCTTTTGGGTATTACCGGGAGCTGCTGGAAGGACATCTGGCTGGGTGCTCTTGTGGTAAGGTTGAGGCCTCTGGGACATGTGGAAATGCAGGGCAAGACCAATTCCCAGATGAACTAAACAGCCTGCCAACTGCTTTAGCCCCTCCTTCCAGGCACCTTCATGGCCACCTAGGAGTTTCTTGGTCTCTTTCCCAGGTTTAGGCTCTGTTCTTTGTGGTTTGGATCTCTCTGACCCTTCTTCTGTGTTCTCTGGTCTCTCCTGCTGTCCAGGGGCAGGCCTCAGGGCTTCAGTCTGGCCTGCAGCTGGGGGCAGGGAGGAGGTTCCATGACAGTTGGAGAGATTCCAGGAGGTTAGGAAGTTGGCCATGGATTCATACTCTACCCTGTGTGAGTGACATGGGGGCTGGGCTGAGGTTGGGTCAGGGTGGGCTCCATGTAGGGTATGGGCAAGGTCAGGATTGGGTCAAGAAGAGGTCATGGATGGATCTGAGAGATGTCAGGACTGGGTAGGGGTGGGGTGGCAGTGGGGGGGAGTGACCAGACAGAGCAGAATCAGAGAGGGGCTAGAGTAGGGTCAGGGCTGGGCAGGGCTGAGCCAGCACTAGGGCACCAGCATCTCTGAGGTCAGTTCTTAGAGTTTCTGGAGGGCTTGAGATCTGAATTTGTAAGTCCCTCCTCCTACCTGCCCCTACCATGCCCCACTCCCAGGGCCTTCCCTGAATTAATTTCCTCCTTGTATTCCCTTTTCAAGTTCGGTGTCTCTCCTTGCTCTCTTTCTCCTCTGTCTCTGTCTTTCTTTACTTTCTCCTGAGGCCTTGGGGACCGAGAGAAGGTTGGACCCATTCACTGCCTCAGAGACCTGCAGTCTGGGCTTGGGAGGGGAGGCAGAACAGCCACAGCTTGAGAAGGGCTCAAAAGAGGTCAGTGGGAATGCAGGTACTCCAAGTGTTTGTAGCCTTTCCAGTCAGGAGTGGAGATATTTCAAACTTGCCTTTCCCCCATCCTTCCTTTTGGCTTTTGTGGTAACCTTTTGGGGGAAAAAAAGAAAGAAAGAAAGTAAAAAGAAAAATCCACAAACTTTTATGTCTTTAATTACATGAATATCCAACTCCTCTGCACCTTAGCTTCCTCATTTGTCCAAGGAGATAATGACACTTTAGAGGGTTGTCTTAAGGATGAAGTGGGTTAATAACATAAAAGCACATAGAACCCATTGTAATCAAAACCTGTTGGATTTTTTTACACTTCGCAGATGTTGATTTTGACGCTCCAAGTAACTTGTCCATCCCCCCGAGCTCCTTCCCAAGTCCAAGACCCGTATATCCAACTTCTGAAATCCACATTGAGAGGTACCACAGAAGGACAGGAAGGAATTACTCTATTTAGATACCATGGATGCCCCCACCAGTTCATTTATTCTTGCATTCAATCATGACCCTTTTCATTGAACAAACAGCAAAAGCTCTATACCAGCTGATGAGGGTGCAGTGGGAACCAGAAGAGATTTGTTCCCTACCCTCAAGGAGGTCCATTGGGGAAGACGGGTAGGGAAAAAAGTAGTGAAACAAGGGGAATCACAAGTCTGTGTGATACCAGTGAAGACAAGTTGCACATCGCACTGTGGGAGCATTTGGTGGGTGACCTCACCCAAGAATTGAGGCTGGGCTGGGCTGGGCAGCTCAGGAAAGGAGATGTGGAAGGAGGGGCACGGGAGGGTGGTTAGGGCATTCTGGGCATGGGTGGAAGAAGAGTGTTCCAGGCAGAAGGAGCAGCCTGAACTGTGTGTGGAGGTGCCGAGGTAGGAAAGCTCTCAGTGTGAATGGGACCCTGTGAAGTCTAGTGTGGCTGAAGGTGAGTGAGCAAGGGAGCGGGGACAGGAGTCCCTGCAGGTTGGGAAGGTTGGCAGGATCACAGGGGCTTGGTGAATGTAGGGTGTAGGCGATACCATGGGTCTCAGCCTCGTGAACACACTTTGGAGCCTGTGTTGTAGCTGTGTGTGTCCTGGATTGGGATTTGTGACAGGGGTCTAGATAAGGGGATGAAGTTGAGAGCAGTGATGGAGCTGGGGTTTGGGGAACAGGAACTGGAGGATGGGGTTGGAGACAAAACAAGTAGGTTTGGGCTTCGAATGGGGTTGTGGATGGGGGCTGAGGTGGGCATTATGGTTAGAGATGAGAACGAGGATGAGTCTGGAATCAGAGATGGGGCAGAGGTGGGTATTGGGGTTCGGGTGGGGGTGGGGAGATGGCTGGAGGAAGGGGATTGAAAATGGGGTAAAAGGCAAGATCTGGGTGGGGATGGAGATGTGGACGTGGTCAGAAATGGAGACTAGCATGCAGCAGTGGGTTGCAGGTGGATCCTGGCCCCCAGAACTCTCTTCTTTCCCAGCCGACGTGGTCTCTTCCTGGGATGAGGACCGCAAGTTCATCCTGCGGGGCTGGTCTCTCGTCTTCAACGTCCTTGCAACCCTGATGGTGCTCAGCGTGGCAGATGGACGTCTGGCCTACTTGCAGGGCTTTTATACTGGCTACCTGGGCATCTGGATAGACTGCAGAAAGCACAAGTGTGCCAGCCTGGGCCAAGTCACCGGTCAGTAGGAGCCTGGACAGGCTATGGGATCCTCGAAGGAGGGGGTATCTCAGGAGGCTATCAGGGGCGGGAATCTCTGGGGGAATCTTTTTGGATGTTCTTGGGGAAAATGTTTGGAATTCTCGGGAGGGTCTCTGGAGATTCCCTGAAGGCCTTGTGAAGGAGTCTCCTGGAGTTACATATAGCTTTTGAGGAAACAAGGAAACAGGACTGTCCTGGTGTGTGGGCAGAGCACTACAATTGACCGAAAACCAATCTGCCTCATCATTAGATGGCTAAAGATGCCCTCATTCTCTCTCTCACTTTAAAAAAAAAAAAAAGATTTATGTATTTATTTGAGAGAGAGAGTGCAGGGGGGAGGGGCAGAGGGAGAGGCAGAGAGAGTCCCAAGCCGACTCTGCACTGAGCCTGAGGTGGGGCTTGATCTCAGGACCTGGAGATCCTGACCTGAGCTGAAACCAAGAATCAGATGTTCAACTGACTGTGCCACCCAGGCGCCCCTCTCCCTCATTTTTTAAAACAGTGTTGTTGTTGTTTTTTTTAAGACGATTAAAAAAAAGATGATTTCCAGCTCCTTCGGAAACATTTTGCTTCCTTGTAGGTCTCTGTGTGTTTCCAGTGATTTTGAACACTGCAACAGGAGACAACCCAGAACCTGGAGTCGGAGTGCCTGGGTTTGGATCCTGGCTCAATCACTTGTTGGCTGGGTGATCTTGGGCACCTTCCTTGACCTCTTTGCGGCTCAGTTTCCTCATTTCTAAAATGGTAGTGGTAGTGGTCTCTATTCATGCATTGTTTGAAGGATTAGCAAGTTAAAACAAGTAGAGGAATTAAAACAGTGCCTGGCTCATATTAAGCACTACACCAGCTTTAGCTGTTATTATTATAAGGGATTTTTTTTTTTTCAGCCAATGCACCTACCTTCGTTTCAGATCTCAAATAAGTTTATGAAACTTCCAGAACATTGTGTGGTATTAATCTTATTTATTTATTTCAGATATCTCTTTTGTGTATACCTCCCAAACTCAAGTTGGTGTAAGTAAGACAAACATGGTTTCAGGTTATGGAAAAGTACAGAGGCATAGATCTATCCCAGGTTCAGGTACTGCTGGATCCAGGCGCTTAAAGGGTGTCATTAGGGAATCTGTCTCTTGCCACCTCTCTGTGAAGGCTTCCTTGTAGGCAAGCTATGCCTAGGCAGTGGTAATGGGGCCCATCATCAGCACCCAGATTCTGTCCTTTCTGTGAACAACCATGGGGGAAAAGAGAGTAAGTTGTCTTCTGTAGCCCTCAAGCAAAGATCTCAGTTTTAGCTCTGATAGGATCAGATTTACTTCCCTGGGATTTCTCTATCCTCTCTGCACCCAGTTGCCGTGGTCAGGGAGATGTCTTGCTGTGATTAGCTGGGTCTGGATCACACACTTTTCTTACGAGTCAATGGAGGGGTCATTTCTGTCAGAAGCACAAGGACCAAGGGTGGGCAGAGAGTTCCTCTGAACAAAGTCAAGCTGTTGTTGCCAGAAGAATGGGAATGGATGCTGGGTGGACAAAAACAACAATTCACAACTTCCTCCCATATTGATGGTACTTTCCTGGAGCATAATTACCCTGGGGGTAGATTCCCAAGAGTGGAATAGCAGTCCTTCAGAGGAGCTGAGGAGACTTTGTTAAGACTTTGATATACACTCCCTAGAGAAGTCAGGATTCTCATGACAAGCAACAGAAAACAATTAAAGCTAGTTTAAGCAGAAAATAGATTTATACAGGATGTTGGGGAGTTTGCAGAATCCCTGCAGGGCCAGAGAATTGGGCTCTAGGCGCCAAGTGATCAGGACCATGCCCAAAGAGCCCCCGGAGGACTGGCTGGTTGGGCGCGCACACTGCAGCTTGCTCTGTGCAGCCCAGTCTCTCCAGGCCTGGACTCCACTGGGGAACCTCTTTCTCTGCTGCCCTGGGACCTGTGGAGGTGGCTGTGGCCACACCTATCAGAATAGAGTCCATGCCCACTCTTAGCTGCTGACTCCAAGTCTAGTGTGGCTCTTTATTGGTGGAACCTTGTCATGTGCTGAGGTCTTAACTCTATGGGAGGCTGGTTTTCTTCCTGGAAAGTGTGGATGCATATGTTGGGGAAAATTCTCCAAATGTGGACTGGTGTTCAGAGGTGCTGGGAAGACAAAAAAGAGTGGTGAATGTTCATTTCATTCTCCTTTTGCTCTAACACATTAACTTTGGGTGATTTTAAAGTTTTTCTTTATTTTAAAATTTAAGTTACTTTTATTTGAACAGGCAATATATTTACACAGTTCAACATTTTAACAAGTGTAAGAGTCTCTCTCGCATTTCTGTCTACCATCCCACCCATTCCCCTTCCTGGGGGCAACCGATGCCACTAAGCCATTTTTAAGCTCTTGTGTGTTCTTCTTGTCTTATTTTCTGCACATATGAGAATATAGCTATGTTTATCTACAAACACATACATACACACCCACACATATAAGTATGTCTCTCTATTTAATGTATATGTTTATCACTTAAAAAACACACGAGGTGGTATGACAGCTCTCTTTTTAAAAGTAAATCATCATTTATTGAATGCTAAGAATGTACAATGCTTTATGGTTGGCATAAAGACATAACATATAGGTTATGAGGGCCTTTTTTAAGGTGTAGAAACTTAGAATTTTTATGTTCTAATTTCCCCACCTTTGCCTCTGAGATTTTACCAATTGCATCTCAGCCTTGGGGGGTTCTTCTCCCTCTAGATTTTTGGTGAAAATTCAATTCTGGTTGTGTGTGTGTGTGTGTGTGTATTAGGGTTTGACTGTGATTTTAGTGTGTGATATGCAGGCGGCATCAAATCCTGTGCTCCTTGCCAACTTACAGAAAGGATTTGAATTAGTCAGGCGTCTTTGGGATCATAAGTAACAGAAACTCTGACTTGCAATAGCTCGAGTGAAGGAATTTATGGTCTCACCTAAATGAAAAAGGGTGGGAATAGGAATGCTTTCAGGCATGGCTGAATTCAAGGGTCCAAGTGATAGCATCAGACATTACTATCTGTCTCTTTCTTGGGTACTTAAATTGGCCTCATTCTCAAAGCTCCACATAGTGATAAGTCAGGATCTAGTTAGGAAAAGAAATCATTCTAGATGCTTCAGAGGGGGTAAATATAGGGACAGAAGAAAGGGAGGTGGTGGTATTACCAGAGCCTGGAAGCTGGAGCCATCTGGAAGGCATAGACTCATGGTGGGATTTGCTTAGAGGTGACTAGAATCACAGAAAAAAAAAAAAATGCAGCTACTGCTAATAAAGACACCAGCTGAGGTGGGGGTTGGGGAGAGGGAAATAAATACACTGGCTTGTCCTCTCCTTCCAGAGCCAGTCTTCTGCTGGTGCTGCCCATAAGCCAAACATACTGATAAGCCAATGAGCAAAGGAGGCTCAGAAATGTAGTCCTTACAGTACAGAACGGGGAAGGGTGGGGAATGGATCTGAGAGCAGACAGACAGACAACTGACAGAAGTACTAACAATGTGGCCTCAAGTCTGGCAGGAAAAAGAACACAAAAAGTTCCTACAAAAGTCTTGTGTGGCTGGGTCACATGAGTACCCCAAAACAAATATAGCAGCCAGAGCAATGCAAGGCACTGATTAGCTTATAACTGGGGCTGAGAGTAGGGAATGGACCTTGAGGCTTACACCACAAATGTCTACTTCTGACCAAACCACAGGCACTCCAGTCTCTGGGAGGACAAGAGCCAGGGACTTGAATGTCATCTCAACTCTCTCTCCTGTCCCCTTGTCTGCTTTTCTTTCTTAGTTTTACTCTATCAGATCTCCTGCCCTCATGAGACTGGGTCCAAGGCTCAGGCAGCCCCAGGCTCATAAATCCTCTTGACTAGAGGAAAGAGCGCTCTTGACAGCTTCAGTTAGAAAAAGTCCCAGGGGACGCCTGGGTGGCTCAGTTGGTTAAGCATCTGCCTTTGGCTCAGGTCATGATCCCAGGGTCCTTGCTCTGCAGGGAGCCTGCTTCTCCCTCTGCCTGCCACTCCCCCTGCTTGTGCTCTTTCTCTCTCTCTCAAATAAATAAATAAAATCTAAAAAAAAAAAAAAAAGAGAGAGAGAGAGAGAAGTCCAGAGCAGAGCTTGATTAGTTGGCTTTGGTCATGTGCCCATCTTTGGGCCAATCACCATGGCCTGTGGTACGGAGCACTGTGATTGTTTCAGCCATTGGCATGACTATTTTTGTGGCCCCAGAAGGCAAAGCATGTCATAAGTTCTCAACCAGGATTTTGTGATTGAGCCCCAGAGGACTGTTGCTATTCTGTATATATGACCAAGTTTTACTTTCTGGTTATGTGTTAGAGATACGCAGTTTGTCGGAAACAAAGGACATGGAGTCTTAGCTTATTTGGCTGAAGCCATCTTGCACTGTTCAAAAGTAGGCAAGGTAGGGAAGGGCTAAAAGGAGATGTAATTCTCAGAAGGGGCCAAAATTCTTGCTGTTTTGAAACATATATTGGATAAATAGCAACTCAACCTGCGTAGGATTATGTGGTTTTAGGGTATTTGGAAGTTTTTCTTGTGTGTACATATCTGTGTATGCTCTGGGGGTCAAGGTGGGGGATTTGGAGAATGTCTATGGGGGGCTCTGGGATGTGAATGGAGGTGATATTCGAGAGGTTCTGGGAGTGTAAATGGGATAACTAGGAGACCTTGGGATGTGAATGGGAGAGACTTTAGCAGCAGTAGGGTGATTTTGGAGACTATGGGTGACTAAAGTGTCTTGGATAATTTTGAGGGTGCTATTGGGAGTGTCTGGGTGTGATACTGAGGGTATTAATGTGAGTTGCTGTGGGATGCCTTTTGGGAGTATGAGTGGGATGACTTTGGAGGTGTCTGTGGGGATGACTCTGGAAATGGTTGAGATGATTCTGTGGGGTGACTTTGAGGATGTGAGTGGGGGTGACTCAGGGGTCATCCGTATGGGTGGAGTTGATTATGAGCATTCTGGGGTTGACTTTGGGGTAGGTGGGGGGTGATTTGGGACAAACTTGAGGGTATAATTGGGGATGATTTTGACTTTACAGGTGCCTGGGGTGACTTTGTGAGAGTGAGAGTCATTTTGGGGTTTCTAGGAAGGAACTTAGGTGATGGGCGTGGGGGTGAAGTTGAGGATGTGTGTTGCCAAACTTTGGGGGTGTCCATGGGGCTGCTCATGGGGATGTCAGTGGGATGAGATTGGAGGGTGACCTTGGAGAGTGTCTGGGGATGACTCTGGAGCATTTCCTCTTCTCCCCCTAGTTCTCATCCATATGAGCATGGGCTTCATGATGCTGGCCCTGACCCTGTGTCTCATCCTCCTCCCCACCATGGGCCTCTCCTTCCGGCCAGTCTTCCGACGCCTAACTAAGATCGACCTTGTCTTCAGTTCTCTCAGCTTCAGCATTGGTAAGGGTCGGCTTGGGGTAAGAGGTGCTATCTGCTGGGTCTGTCTTTGAATGTCAGCTGGGGTCTCTGCCCCACTCTTTCTGTGTGCATCTCCATTCCACTTTATCTTTCGCAGTCGGGGTGACTGTAGGGGGTATCTCTCTTTCTTTACACTTGTGTCCGGGTAGCTTTCTGTCTGTCACAGGAGTGTATGTGTGTGTGCGCGCGCGCGCGCACAATGGCTTGTCACGGGGAGTGAGAGAGGAGAGGCTGTCTGTCTCTCCTCTCTTTCTGGGGGGTCCTGGGGTCCCTGTCCAGCCTTGTGTCCATCTCTGGCCCCACCCCAGTGCAGGGCTCCTGATTGTTCTCAGTCTGACACTCTTTGTAGTCAACTGCGAGACGTTGCGCCCGAGGCCACAGGTATCCTACCTGGTGACCACCTACCTGTGCTGGGCTGCCGGTGCCTTGATGCTGTGGTCCGGTGAGGGCGGGGCCTCGGGAGGAAGGGGCGGTGCCTCGGTAGGGCAGGGGGCGGAGCCCGGGGAAAACTGGAGGCAGGGCCTGGGGCCGGATAGGGGCGGACCCTAGGGGAGGAGCCCTCGGGGGATGGGGCGGGGCCCAGGGCGGGGCTCGGAGTTCAACGGCCCACTAGCCCTCCGGCCCGCAGGAGCTCTGAGCTACTTAAACCACGTGGGCATGTGGAGCAAAGGGACGTCCTTTAAAGAGCGGCGGGTGAGCTATCGTCGGTGGGCCTCGCAGCAGAACACCACGAGACGCATGTCCCAAGAACAGTCCGCCGCGGACCAGAAGCACACCGTGGACCTGCCCAATGCACTCACCCCCTCAAGCCTCTCGAAGCAGTAGCGCCCGAGCTTCTCAGGATACTGACCAGTGACCGCAGTCAGATACCGGGCCCGTCCCCTTCATCGCGGCCACGAGCCCGAGATCAGCCCTCCCTTCGAGGCCCCACTCCCAAAGAACATGCCCCACCCCTCGAGCTAGGGTTACCCTTTGCAGCTCTGTTCCCGCCCACTGAATCCTCATCCTGCTCCCACCCCTACAGTGCGACAACCGCCCCCTCCTTTTCCGTAAGCTAGCCCTCTCAGGCCACGCCCCGAAGTTGCACTCCAACGTGGGAACTCCTCCCCTTCCGAGGGCGAGTCCCGCCCCTGGATATCCAGTCACGCCCCCGGCGGGACACTTAACTGCCCAGCATTTGATGTAGCTACGCGGTTCTGGGGAACCAGCCTCTCCCCCGAAAGGCGTGCCTTGTGATAACATTGCCTACCCGCCCCCCCTTACTGACGTTTCCGACACAATAAAACGTGGGCGCCTCACAACCTTTAAGTCCGACCCTCCGTTGCGTCCTCTCCCCCAGAGCAGGGTCGGGTCCAAATGTGTGAACGGGTATCGAGTCCCTGCCTTGCTTGTCCTTTGGGATCTGAGCCTCTCTCTGCCGGTTTGTCTACACCTGTTTCTCCTCCTTCCTTTTCCCTAGCTCATTCGTGCACGCCTCCTGCCGCGAGCCTGGGAGGGCTGTAGAGGATTCTAGACTGGGCTGGGTCGATCCCTAGCTTCCAGGTTCCCAGCATCTGGAAGGCCAGAGGACACCAAACGTGATGCGAATTTGATGCGTATTCGATTTTACTGGGGTAGGGAACATGTTGGGGGCATCCAGGAATTGGCTGTCATGGTCTCCTTGATCCACTCCAGGTGCGAGATCACTTTGGTGTAGATCGCGGGCGTATTGGGGCTGCCACATGGCATGTTGCCCCAGGATGTGATTCCTTGAAGCACACCATCGCAGATCAGTGGACCCCCCGAGTCACCCTGCAGCACAAAGGGGAGAGCAAAAGAAAGGTCAGCAAGGTCCCCGGTTCTGCCCCGTGGAGCACACCTGGCTGGGCTCACAGAGCGCACACAGTGCTCCGGGAAAAGACACAGTTCTCTCCAGAGTCCACTGCCAGAGGGCGGCGGGATTCCAACAGAGGTGAACTCTGATGTGGAGTAGGGAGATCCGTGGGATACCAGGTTGAGGGTGTGGGAAGGAAAGGGGGCAGGGGGGAGGGCGCCGAGGCTCGGTTGGGGGAAGCTGGAGTTGGGTAGCAGTGGAGATGGATGCCTGGTTAGCTCTCAACAGCAGTCCAGAACCTGAGTCCCCTCCCCCAGCACCTCGAGACCTGGGGGCGCGGGGTGGGGCACGCTGGCTCACCGCACAGGTGTCCTTGCCGCCCTCCAGCTGTCCAGCACACAGCATGAACTCTGTCACCTTCTGGGAGTGGGCTTTGGCACATACATCATTGGACAGGAGTTTGAGGTCCACACACTGGAGATTGTCTGGGTATATGACTACAGACCAGAGATTAAAAGGGCTGTGACCAGACCACAGGTGACTCCTCAGCCCCTCCTCCCTCAGACCCTGAGTCGGGTCCCCAGCACCCTCCTCCCTACACCCAAGTGTCTGGGCTCCAGGCTGCACAGTCTGGCCCCTAGCGTACACTTATCTGGTTCAATGCTGCCCCAGCCAGAGGCATGGCAGGTGCTCCCCAGTTGGGGTTCCTGTGTGGGCAGGTCCAGGACCCTCACAGCATCTGTAATCTGGGCGGGCTCTGTCAGGCGCAGCAGCATGAGGTCATGGCTATAGTCCTCTCCGGGGAGCTGGGTATGGTTCTTCAGGAGACTCAGGTTGAATTCAGGGTGTGGGAAGCTATCACTGACCTGGACAAACTGGGCTGTGTCTTCATGCTCGAACAGGTTGTGGCGACCCAGCCAGAGCTGGTAATTGCTGGGGAGAGAGGGGGCCCCGGGGAATGAGGAGAGAGGAGGCCGAAAGGGAAATGGGGCCAGGGAGGGTCCCGAAGACAGAGAGAAACAAGGAGTAACCTTGGAGGGAGAGACAGTTGGGAAGGTAAAGAGCTATGAAGAAAAGACAGTGAGTGAGAGAAAAATGTGACAAGGTCAAAGCCAGAGACAAAGACAGGGAGAGTGAAATACAGAGAGCACAAAGGGAGAGTGGGTGAGAGGCAGAGGGGGGACAGTGAGAGACAGAGCACAAAGGAGGCAGAGACAGAAGAGTCCATGGGAGGGGAGGAGCAGACAGGGAGAAGAGGGAGCAGCAGGCTCAGTGAGACAGGGCCAGGGAGCAAAGCGAGAGAGTGCGGAATACAGGCTATGGGGGTGGGGCGCAGCCTGAGCGAGAACAGGGAGGGAGGAAGGGAGGAGCGGGGAGGGGGCCTGGGACGGGCTCAGCTGCAGCAGGGGCTGTGGGACTGGCTCCCCAGCAGCCGCTGGCCTGGCCGCCAGCCCAAGGTCTGCTCCACCTCCCTCCCCAGACCTTCTCCCCCTTCCTCCTCCTCCTTCCTCCGGAGCCCCCACCAGGCTCCAGCTGAAACCAGCCCTCCGCTGTGTCCCCTGCGGTGCTTCACTGTCCTGGAGGGAGGGGCTGGGCACATGAGAAGCCCCCTCACACACACATCTCAGGATAATCCCTTCCTTTTCTCTGGGGGTCCCCCTCAGTCTCGTCCTGGGGGTGCTCAGCAGCGATGGGGGAGAGAGTGAGGCAGAGAAATGGAGGGTGAGACCTACAGTGACAGGGAGGCAGCAGAGGGACCCGGAGGTGGACAGACACACGGAGACACACAGAGACACTGAGACCAAACAGAGAGAGACAGGTATAAATCATACTCAGATAGACAGACACACAACACAGCCACTTACTGAGAGACACAGAGACACAGTTACAGGGAGAGACAGAGACACGGGCTGCCATGGGAGGGCTTCCCTGGGGTTGTCCCCTGCCACTGTCCATGGGACCCAGCCCAGTGCCATCTGTTTCCCTCAGTCCCCCAGCCTCCCCTGAGGTGAACCCAGGGTCGGTGCCCAGTTGTTTATTCCCGTGGGAGCACAGACGCGCCCTCCCCCCATGCCCTGCCCCCACTCACTCATTTATGCAGTGGGCAGCTGTGAGCACCCACTGCGGGTGCACCAGGACGCCCCCGCACTGGAACTTGCTGTAATGGTACAGAGCTGCCTGCCAGGGTTGGGAATTCTGCTCACAGTCCCAGCCTCCTATGATCCGGGACTGGATGGGGGGCACGGCACCTGTGGAAGGGGTGCTGGGTCAGGGCAGCTGGGAGGTGGCAGTGGGGCCAGGGGTACTGGGCTAGAAGAGGGAGCTGTAATGTTGGGTCGGAGGGACATGGGGGCAGAGGAGCAGGGCTGGGGGTCTGGGGAGATGGGCAAGGGGTGTGGGAAGTTTCTGGAATTCTGGAGCCATCCTTGGGATTATGGGTTGGTGGTGGGTCTGGGTGGGGAGACTATGCTGAGAAAAGAGCCAACCACAGGGATCAGGCAGGAGACAAGAAGACAGGGTGTGAGTAGCATGTGGCTGGGGATTGGGTGATAAGGGGGTGATTTGGGGTGTTGGCCTGGGGAACAGAAAGTTGTAAGTTCTGAGAGGGAAAAAAAAGATTCTAGAAATAGAGGATATAGGGCCCCTAGAGAGTGGCTCAAAAGCTGGGAAGGAAGGATTGCGGGGGGGTTACAGGGATCCCAGCCTGAAAAATTGGTTAGGGTCTAGGTTGGGTTTTGGGATTCTTTAAAGATGCAGGGGAAGTAGGTCTGAGAGGCCGAGAATAGCATCTGGGCTGAGGAGTCTGGGTGTAACTTGAGGTCCCTTGACTGGGGCTGGGAGAGCGTCCTCTGGGGGTCTGGGGTCCTTGAACAGGAATGGCTTTGTAAGAGGGGTGAGGCCGTGGAACTGGAGTTGGGGTCAGGACTGGGATGGGGCTCGGGGGGAGGCAGAGCTGGATGACAGTTCTTCTGGGATTGGGTGATTCTCATGGAGATGGGGTTCATAGTCTGAGGATACTGGAGGGATCTGGAGTTCTCTCGGGGGTGGTGCTGGACGGGAATGAAGATGGAGGCATATTGGGGCCAAGCAGCTGTGGGAATGCAGGGAGGGCCCACTTGGTGTGGAGTTTTAGACTCATATGCTGGAGTACTGGGGGAGGTAGGGCAGGACAGTGGGGCTGTGAAGGTATTTGGGATCCTGGAGAGAAGCCCAGAAAATCGGAGTCATACAGGAGGGATTCACTTGGGGAGGGCTGGAGCGTGGGGAAGGAGGAAATTCTACAAGGAAAGGAACCTATAGTTGGGGGTTCTGGGGGTTCTTCCTCAGGGAGAAAGGTGGGGTGCTGGATCAGGGTTCAGGGTCAAAAAGTTGGGGAAGGAAGAGACATTTGTAGAACCCTCATACCGGATGGTTGGGCCCACCTGGAGTCACGGGCCAGAAAGTCTGTTTGGGGAGAAGCGTAGGTGTCTGATGGAATTTGGGGGTCCTGGGAAGATTTAAAGGGAACCAGATGCCAGGGACTGGAGGACCTAGTTGAAAGCTGACAGCCAGATGGGAAAAATCACCAGGGTATAGAAGGATCTGGGGACTCGGGAGACAGAGCCATAGAGAACAAGGGGGTGGGTGGGGGTGATCAGGGTCCCAGGGTCTGCTGCGATTGGGAGCACTCCTCGGAAGAGTTGGGAGTCCCCCAAAGAGACAGAGATGGCCCAGGCTCGGCCCCCTTGGTGAGGGGCAGGCGTCTGAGTGGGGAAGAGGAGAAAGTTCTGCGGGTACCTGGGAGGGAGCAGGGACCGATTGCAAGAATGAGGACTGTGACCGGGATGAGGGGCTGAAGTAGGACTTTAGGGGCCTGGGAGAGAGCCTGGGACCTGGGTCTGGGGTGGACTGTGGGATAGGAAGAAGTTACGGGGGGTGAGGGAAGTATGAGAGCCGGGCCCACGCCCCCACCCCACACCTTCCCCACTGTCTCACCAGTCCCTGCCAGGGACAGGGCAAAGCACAGAACCAGGAACCACATGGTGACCACACGCAGGCTGGTGGTGAGCTTGGAGCTTGGAAGCCTCCCCAAGGAGTGTTTTAAAGCCCTCACTCCCCCCGCCACCCAGCCCCACGCCTGCCCTGCTGGCACCCAGATGCTGGCCAAGGCCCTGCCCCTGCTGCCGGGGGGCTGGACACCTCCTCCCACCCCAGAGCTGTGGAAGGGGCGGGAGAACGAGCACCTGTTGTTCTGCGGGCCCTGATTGTGCTGGAAGCATTCCTGGGGCCTGAGGCCAGACAGGGCAGGGCCTGGAGCTCCTGGGCCCCTACTCATGGAGACAAAGACAATGAGGGGAGGTGTGTGTGGGGGGGTGAGTAGGAGAAGAAAGAGAGTGGAGGAATCACCGACCTCCAATACAAAGCCCCATATACTGGAACCCCAACGACTCAGTGCACCCCCGAACACCAGCAGTGGGGCTCTGATTCCTTTCTCCCTGCACCACTTGGAGCCAAAATGACAGTCTCCCAGCTTCCGCTGTCTCCGAAACATAGCTTTGGCTTTCAGAACACCCTGACTCTTGCACTCCCGGACTCAGGATCTAGGCCCCAATCTATTGTTTCTCTCCAAATAAAATTGTGGTGGGTACCGATGGCCACAATCCTAGTGCCCCCAGATCCAGAAATATGAAGTTTCAGTGGTCTCCCCGAATAAGTTCCCTAGCATTTCAAAATCCAGTGTCCCCCTGCCCCCAAACAATGCTGGGATCGCATTACACCCCACACATACTCCTTGTTCCCCAGATCTGGATACTCAAGGTTATGTCCTCCAAAGTCCCACGAATTCCAGACAATCTGCCTTCCACCCATCAAGAGCACCCTCTCCACAAATTCTAATTTCCCTTCCCCCATTAAAATATTTAGGTCTCAGGAACCAGGTTCATGTAGTTCAACATTGGGTGACCTTGAAGATCACATTTGGGGGGATCTCTGCTGAGAATTGGGAAGCAGATTTCTGCAGCCTCAGTGTTAAATTCATAGGCCCCTGACACCTTCCCTTGGCTCTTCAGTAAAATCAAAGTAGGTCGCAGGGTAACCCAGCCTCCGCTGTATGTCAGCAGCCCTGCCTAAGGAAAGGAGAGCATTTGCCTTTTTGCCTGGCTACCAGGGGGCCCACAACTAAATTGCGAAGAAAATGAGGTCATTCTTTTTTTAAGACTTTTATTTATTCATTTGAGACACAGAGATACAGAGAGAGAGAGAGAGAGAGAGAGAGACAGAGAGACAGAGAGCGAGAGCATGAGCAGGGAGAGAGGCAGAAGGAGAGGGAGAAGCAGGCTCCCTGCTGAGCCAGGAGCCCGATGTGGGGCTCTATCCCAGGACCCTGGGATCATGACCTGAGCTGAAGGCAGACACTTAACCATCTGAGCCACCCAGGCGCCCCGAAAATGAGGTCATTCTTGATCATCTAGTGTGTGCTGGGTCTTTTCACTGGGGTCCAGAGATATATTTCCCCAGTGCCAGGCACTATTTGAATCAGTTCATATGAACTTCCTCATTTAATTCTTACAACCCTGTGAGGTAAGCAATATGATCTCTGTTTTACAGATGGGGAAACCGAAGCTGAGGGGCATTGGGTCTTTTCCTCAAGATTACACAGCTGATCCTATGCATATGTGAATGAAGAGAGCCCTACTTCAAGCCATTTCTCTTCACCTAGGTATTGGGGCAGTGGGCGAAAAGGAACAATATACAGTAGCTCTGGGTCCCCAACCAGTCTCTGGCTCCCACTTCCCTTCATCCCCAGAAGAAAGTCACAGAAACTCCTACAGAGAAACTTGCATCAGCACTCTTGTTATCTCGGTGTTTAAACAGGTGACCTTGAGCACCGGCTCTGGCCTGAGACGGGACAAGTCCTTGGCTAACATCTGTGCCTTGGACAAATGAGGTCTTGAGGGATGGCCCGACACTGTCCCAGGTCAGGTCAGCTGCTGGTCAGCTCTGGGAGCTTCTGTTCAAGTCAGAGACATAGGTGGTAGACCAAAATTGTCAGTTCTTCTTCATGGTTTCCTTAATCCACTCCAAGTAGCTGCAGACTTTGGTATAGACTCCAGGCTTGGTCGTAGTGTCACAGGGGACATCACCCCAGGACACAATGCCCTGCAGGACTCCCCCACAGACCAGGGGTCCCCCGGAGTCACCCTGTGAGAAGAAGGGAAAGTGTGAATGGGAAATTTCTGGATCCCAGTGCCCCCAACCCTATCCCAATCACCATTCACAATCTCAATCAAAATCCAATCCAACCCCACCCCAATCAACTCAATACAACCCAGTTTAACCCAAACCGATCCAACCCAACTCCAGCCCAACACAAGTCAATACAACTCGGCCAACCCATGTTCTATCCTTCCCATGTAACCCCAACCCAATCAAACCTCTACATCTTCCCCATTCAGAATCAAACCAGACCTACTCCCATCCTCACTGCCAACACAACCAATCCCAGTCATCATGTCTTTCACATCCTAGACAAAGTTTGCCCTATCCCCAATTCAACCCAACATATTTTCCATCTAAAATCAAACCGGGGGCGCTGGGGTGGCTCAGTCGGTTAAGCGTCCATCTTGATTTCTGCTCAGGGTCCTGAGATGGAGCCCCACATAGGGCTCCAGGCTGTAGGCTCCGTACTTAGCAGGGGGTCTGCTCAAGATTCTCTCTCTCCCTCTCCCTCTGCCCCCTTCTCACCTCATGCTCTCTCTCTCTCCCTAAAATAAATAAATACATCTTAAAAAAAATCAAACCAAGCCCATTCCTACTCTTTTTTTATAAAGATTTTATTTATTTATTTGACAGAGAGATAGAGAGAGAGCACAAGTAGGCAGAGAAGCAGGCAGAGAGAGAAGGAGAAGCAGGCTCTCCACTGAGCAGAGAGCCTGATGCGAGACTCGATCCCAGGACCCTAGGATCATGACCTGAGCCGAAGGCAGACGCTTAACTGACTGAGCCACCCAGGTGCCCACCTATTCTTTTTTTAAAAAAATATTTTATTTATTTGAGAGAGAGAGAGAGAGCACAAGCAGAGGGCCAGAGGGAGAGGGAGAAGCAGATGCCCCGCTGAGCAGGGAGCCGGGCATCGGGCTGGATCCCAGGACCCTGAGATCATGACCTGAACTGAAGGTAGATGCTTAACTGACTGAGCCACCCAGGTGCCCCAAGCCCATTCCTGTTCTTAGCTCAAACCCAGGCCATTCCAAACCAACCGCCACATCGTGCACCCCAAGCACAACCCAATCCATCGCCAACCTCACCCCCATTCTAAATGCTCTTCCTTCTCCATCCCCAAACCTACCCCTAGCATCTTCTCTGGCCCAAAGCAAGCACAACTTGTTCCCATCCCAACTCCCAAACCTGTCCCCCTACCCCATGGCTCTGACCTCACAGGAGTCCGTGCCTCCGCCCTCTACTCCTGCACACACCATAGAGGCCATCAGGCGCCCTGGGTAGTCCTTCTTACAAGATGTGGCCGGGATAACACTGATGTTGGCACAATGCAGCGTATCCGGGAGACTCACTGCGGAAGACAGTGGACTTGGAGTGAATCCGTATTTTCAGGCCCTTGTCGTCTTCGCCCAAGAGCCCTGGAGAATGGGGTCCCTGGAGGCCCGACACCCAGCACCATCCTTTCACGCACCTTGTGACTCTGTGCTCCCTTTGGTCCCAGGCTTGTCATCAGACACCAGGCCCCAGCCGGACACCACGCAGGCCTCGCCCGGTTGGGGGCAACGCGTGGGCAGCGCCACAGGGCGCACTTGCGGGGAGAGGCGCGCGGGCCGGGTTAGACGTAGCAGCATGACGTCGTGGCGATGGCTGCTTGCTTCGTAGCGCGGGTGCGGGAGGATGCGAGCCACAGTCCGCAGCTGCTCGGGGCCATCGCGCTTGCGCAGATTGTGCTCGCCCAGGCGCACTCTCAGGAAGCTGTGCAGGCAGGTGATTGATTACCCGCAAGTGGAGTGAGGAGCAGACAGAAAGATCAAAGAGCTGGCGAGCTGGGGTCCCCCCACCCTGCGGGAATCTGGAGATGCCATTACCCTCTGCCCAAGGCGCTGAAGCCAATAATAGCTGGAGCCGCTGCCCCTCAGGGACCAAGGAGGTGCACCCACCCGGAACACAACCCCCAGGCTCCTGCTCTTTCCTCCTCAGAATCCAAGATTCTCAGATCCCTAGACTCTTGCCGTCATGCCCCTCAGGACTTTGAGCCCTGTCTTCGTACCGGGTTTGGCAGTGGGCCGCAGACAGCACCCAGTGAGCAGAAATGAGGGAAGCACCGCAGTTGAAGCGCCCACGCTCAAATAAGGCCACTTGCCACGGCTGGGAGTGGGGCTCACACTCCTCACCTCCCAGCATCCTGTCGTCCCGGGCTGCTGGGAGAGGGGGCAGAGGAGGGTCCCTGAGGACAGAATCCTTTTCCTTGGGCCCTACACGTTGCCCACACCCTGCCCATACTATGTATTTTTCACTTCTGCTTTCCCCCAATCTCTTAGGACGTCCCTGTCCTTGAATTTTTAGCACAGCCTTCTCTCTGGCTTTTACAACTACTGCTTGTTTTCTCCAGAACTGTCCCCCTGCCCTTGGCCCTCACCCATTTACTACAGGATTCTGGGAGAACAGGGAGGTGGGAAAGGACCAGAAGTCAAGAAGTCCTCTGAGATTAGGAGTGGAGACAGGGACACTGGATACAGGGCCAGAGAGATAGCCACTTGGAACCAGCCAGTCAAGGTCATCGCCAAGCTGTCACAGACATCAAAAGGATGTGGCCACTCGATATGTATGACACGCAGTCTTGGCTCCAGAGTCTGGACATCTCAGCCAAATGCAGATGTGGCCACACAAGGTCATGGGCAAACATAGGCACAACCAGTCTTCCAAACTTAGGAACTGAGGGAGAGAGCACTTTAAGCTGAAATTCACTTGTATATACTTGGGTTGCAGCTTCAAGAATCACAGCACAGACATTCATGGATATATATGACTCTGGACAGTTATAGCATGGGCGTGTGTGCGCGCACACACACATCCACAGACACTGATTTGCACATAGAAGCTCACACCTAAATTTACAGTCTCCAGGGGTGCCTGGGTGGCTCAGTTGGTTAAGTGTCTGCCCTCAGTGAGGGTCATGATCCCAGGGTCCTGGGATCGAGCCCCGCATCAGGCTCCCTGCTCAGCGGGAAGCCTGCTTCTCCCTCTCCCACACCTCCTGCTTGTGTTCCCTCTCTCGCTGTCTCTCTCTGTCTGCCAAATAAATAAATAAAATCTTTAAAAAACACCAAGTCTCCAGTGTGGGTCTGAATATACCAGTCACAGACTTGCACACTAACGCACAGGGACTGGACAACAAGGTGGGGTCCTTGATAAGGGTACGTGGGGAGAGACACACATATACACTCAGGCCTCCAAAGACTTGTTCACAGACATGGGTATAAGTATAGTGGTTGAATCTGGAATGTTAGAGTAAAGCCCCCGGGTCCAAACATGTTATCTGTGAGCCTCTGAGCAAATTATTTGACCTCTCCGGGCTTATGTTTCTTCATCCGTAAAATGGGATTGTTGTAAGGATTAAATAAGATTATGTGTGTGTGTGTGTGTGTGTGTGTGTGTGTGTGTGTGTGTGTGTGTGTGTCTATGATGTCTGGCTTATTATAGTTGCTTAATAAAGACTAGTTATTTTAAACAAATGACACATAGATTTATTTATGCAGAGATACATGTAGATATTTAGGTTCTGGACAGAAATTTAGCCAAAGTCAGTCAGACATGTGATCAGGCTTAGATGAAGATAGTCAAGGTCAAAATTGTGATTCGTCTTCAAGTCACTGTGGGGATTTAGAGTAAGAGACATGAACCCAGAGAGCCAACACTCAGATGTGGACCCACTAGATCAGACCCCAGGGAAACAATGGACACAGGGCTAGGCATCCAAGGTCAAAAACATAGCCAGAGACATAGGACACGATGTATTTTCCCATCTCTAGATGAGCCCCCCCAGTCAGTCACTTGGTGTTCAAAGTCATTGTGTTTCACATAGGGAACCCAGTTCACATATGTGGGCAGGATGTGGACACACAGGGCTTTGAAAACCCACCATACACACACACACACACACACACACACACACACACACACGCACTCACGCACTGCACCATGCACAAGGATATAAACAGGGATATTTCAAGGTTATAAGACCATGATCCGCTACTGGGCAATGGGGATATGACCCCTGAAGGTCACAGCAAGGCACACAGACACCCATCCTGGGGCAGGAATTTGCACAGCCAGACCAAATGCCCATCGTCTGCCTGCCAGGGTCAGGAACTGTGCCAAGGGCCCTGGCAAGGCTGGGGGAATGCGGATGTGGTGGACAGGGGGCTTAACAAGGGAACGGTGGGGTTGTTGTCCTGCAAAGAAGGACAAAGGGTGCGGGCTGAACAGCTGGGCATTGAGGCTGCCCCTGGCCAGTACAAGCCGGAGGAAGGTGGAGGCCCTGGCTGGGTGCAGTGGGCAGGCGGGAGGCAGGGAGGAGAGAGCACAGAGAAAGCCTGAGGGGAGGCTGGCAGCAGGGGGGAGCTTCAAGGGGCCCCCAGAGGCGAGGGTCATGTGGGGATATAATGAAAGTCCACCCTCAACTTCTCCAGTGTAGAGGCATCAGGTTACAATTAAGTTCTCCATGGGTGGTAGCTGAACATGGAGGCTGGAGTTTTCCTGCCTCCCAGGGTCACCTTGACATAGTGGCCACTCTCCTCCAGCCTCAGCCCCTTCCCCTGTCAAATGAGGTCAGTAGACCCTACCCCATAGAGATGTTTTGAGAATTAGCTGAGCTCTGGCATATATCCACATGCGTGTCTGGCATATACCCAGCACTCAGCAATGCCACCACGTCCTTACAGGGCACTACGCTGGACCGAGTACCTTCTAGTGCCTCACCCACGGGACCAGATTTAATCTTCACAACCCTGGAGGTGTCTGCTGTTATCTCCATGGTCCAGTTGGGGATCCCGAGCCACAGAGATGTTAAGTAACCTGAACATGGTGAGTTGGAATTCGAGCCCAGAAGTCTGTGTTCTTGGCCTCTTAACACTTGTTTAAAGGCTTATTATGAGCTTTATCTACATTATGTTATTGAAACCTTGCCATTACTGTCAGAGGTAGGTGCTGTCTTCCAGAGAAGGCACTCTCGGTAGAGAGAGGTGAAGTAATTTCCTCAAGGTCACACAGCAAGGAAAGGGCAGCCCCAGAACTCGAACTCAGGTCTGTGTTCTTGTTGTCAGGAGCAGCAAAAGGCCCCAGTTGGCATGGGGACTCTAGAGCAGCCCCAGGCCCCTGACGGTCTTGGGGCAGGGTGAGGACTCAGGGAGGGGCAACGGGGGGGGTAGTGGAAGACTGCAGAGCCTGGATTTGTTCCTGGTGTGGGGGAGGGGCACCACATTCCCATAGACCCAGACCTGACCTGGGCCCGCCTCACCTGCAGACATCAGCAGGAAAGAGAAGGTGAGGAGAAGCCACATTGCAGAGCAGGGATGAGGGTTCTGTTGAAGTCTGGGGAGGGGAGAGAGTGAACCGGGATGAGGTGGGGCACTTGTGCCCCAACGTGGATCCCTCCAGACACAAACCCATCCCACCTGCTGCTTGAGAAATTTCTTCCACCATCTTTGTGCCCCCACCCCCGCCACAGACTGCTCTCCCCCCTCCGCCCCCCCCAGGTTCTCCGTCTCTGAGGGTTATGTTTTTCCTCCAGGCACCAGAACAAACCCTCAGCTGCCCCCACAGCCTGTCAGATCCCAGCACCAACGCACTTGCTCCTGGATCTCTCTCCATGCTCCAGGCTTTGGCTCAGAATACATTTTCCCCCAGACCCTATCCCAGCCTCCTACCTGGGTTACTGGGTAACCCCCAGCCCCCCACCCTTGCCGTCTGTCCCCCAGTCAAGTTCCCACCCCCCCCAGCCTGTTCTCCTACATGGCCCTGCAGGGTCTTTCCACACCCAGAGTTGACCATACCCCACTCCTGCTTACAGCCCTCATGGATCCCCAGCACCGCCAGATAAAGTCTTAGCTCCTCGGCCTCACTTTCGAGGATATGAGTGGTTTCTCCCCTTCTACCAGCTCCTCTGACTGGGTCTCTCATGACTTTGCCCTTCTAGACACAGCTGATTCTCCCATTTTCCTTCCTGTGATTCCATGCCTCTATGCCTTTGCTCAGGCTGTTCCTCCTCCCAGGTATGCCATTCCCTTCAGGGTCCACTTCCTCCTTGAGGGATTTTCTGACCATCTCCAGTCAGTGGTGTCTGCCTCCCCCACCAGACTAAGAATTTGCTGTGGGCAGGCCTGGCCTGACTGGACACTGGATTCCTGGTGAAGGGTCCAGTCCATGGGAGGCCCCAGCTCCCCTCATCTTCCAAATTCATATTTGCCCTCCATGGCTCGGCTCCCACCTCTTCTGGGAGGCCCTGAGACCTAACAGGTATCTTTTCTGGGCCTCACAGCCCCTGGTGTGCCTCCGTGACATCACAGATTCCCAGGAACCCTCAGGTAAGGTCGTCTCTGTGTCCCCAGCATTGCCGAGCCTGGGGCCTGGCACCTGGGACACCTGGGGAGGTTGAGCTGAGCTGACTTGAACCCCTGACCTTGTTCTTAGATCTGATACAAGCGCTTTCGGGGACACCCTCCTGATTCACTCCACCTCCTCCCCCCCCTGCAGTTCCTTCTTGCATCTCCAGGACATTTTCTTGGTTCAGGTCCAACTTGAGGCCTCAGTAAAGGACACATGGACCTACACAGGTGCCCTTGAAACTCAAGTCCCTCAGGGCAGTGCATGTCTGCTCCCTGGGACCAGGGCATCCAGTGTCTCCCCTAGACCAGGGCAGACCTGTGTCTCCCTGAGTGTCTCTCAATCCCCCCCCCCAGCTCTTGTCTCAAAAATCTCACCCCCTCCAGATCCTCCAGCTTCATCTGGGGCAGCTTGGATGCCAGAGAAGGGGAGCAGGCTCCTGAATACCTGAATTTATAAGCTCCTGGCCCCACCCAGGTCTAGGGGGTAGGGTGGGGTGGGAGGTGGCTGAGAGTCAGGTTTACAGGCGGGGACGCCTAGGTGGCTAGTGGGGTGGGGGACAAGGCCTAATGAGCATTTATTAGGTTGAAGCTTTTGTCTGAGTCTGTCAGGAAGAATTCCCTGCCAGGGACAGTTCCTCAACGGCGAGGATGTAGGAGGGCAAGAGCCCCAAATCAGAGGAAATCAACAGATAGGACCAACATTCTGTAACATGGAACCTGGAATTTGGGGTCTAGAGTGTGGAAACTGGAATCTAGAGCCATGCTTCTTATGCCTGGAGTAGGGTTCTGAATCCTTGGGTTCTGCACCTGGATCTGGACCCCTCAGTTCTGGATTCTGAACCTTGGACCTCTGATTTTGGACAGTGGATTCTGGATCTGGATCTCCACTTTTGGAGTTTGGGGTCTGGATTCAGATCTCTGATTCTGGATCTGGGTGCCTGGGCCTCCTAACTCTGGATCCTGGGTATTGGATTCTGGATCTTGGGTTTTACACTTTTTGTTGTGGATCTCCAACTCTGGACTGTGAGTTTGGAGGTCTAGAGTCAGGCATTTATGACCTGAAGTATAGAGTATGGATTCTGGAGTCTGAATTCTGGAGTTTGGGTCTGGAATCTGGAACTTAGAGTCTGGTCTTTGAGTGACAGGTCTTAGTCTTGGATTCTAGATCCAAGGCCTTTGAATCTAGAGTCCAGACTAGGAGTCTGGAATTTGGTGTTTGGAACCTAGGACTTGAGGTCAGAAACCCTCACATCTGCTGTGTGAAGCCTGGGGCCTGGAGCATGAATGGTAGATTTTGAATTTTGAGTTTTGGGGCCTAGATTCTAGAGTCTGGGCCTAGACTTTTAAGATTTCATGGATTAACTTTGGAGTGTAAAGTCTGGAGTTTCAAACCTGCATTGTGCATTTAAAAGGCTGGACTGGGAGATATGGGCCTGAGTTCCATGAGTCAGAGATTACTAGAACCTTCTCTGTAGTATGAATTTAGACACTGGGAGACTGGAATCCTTAATCTGGATCCTGTGGTCTTGATTCTGCATTTTGGTGCTTGAAATCTGGATTCTGCTTTCTGGTGATCATTATTAAAATGACTCAAAGCTTTGGGAATTTAAAGTTGTCCTCTGGTGTCTCAGGACCATAGGAGGGCCCTCAGCAATTTTCTAGAGTCTATCCTGGCTTGTTTAACTAATGAGGAGGCACAGAGAGCAGGAGGGACTGACCTCAGATCACCCAGTGAAGGATGGGACCTATTTTAAATATGGTCCCTCTCAGTATCTGAAAAGCCATCACCTATATGGGAAGGGGCTGCATGAACAGGGCTGACTGTTTAGGGGATCAGTGGCCAATGCCAGCGGGTCCTTGGCCCTTGATTTCTCCACAGATAATATGTGAGAATGATGGCATCTAAGCCACCAGATGTCTTTCAGATATTCCTGAACTACAGACCCTCAGTTATTCCAGAATCTTAGGGTCTCAGTTATTCTAGAACGATAGACCCTCAAAATCTCTAGAATACCAGACCTTCAGATTGTAGAATCTAGTATCTAGAACCTAAGGTACCCTGGAAGTCTAGGTCCTTGAACACTTTAGAACCCAAGAGTTTAAAATTGCCTAGAACCACGAACCTCCACATATTCTAGAACCCTAGATCCTTAGATGTTCTGGAACCCCCAGACATTTAGACATTCTGGATTCCCAGGCTAGAAGCTATTCTAGAACTCCTTTGCCTCTTTATCTGGCTACAAATTCATGCTGATAGTCTCTAGGCCTCACAGTGGGCCACAGTTTCAGTTGGACAGTTCCTGTGTACCTTACCTCGTTTATCCACCTGATAGCCCTGTGAAGTGGTTACCATGGCTTCCTTCTTTTTTTTTTTTTTTAAGATTTTATTTATTTATTTGACAGAGAGAGAAAACAGTGAGAGAAGGAACACAAGCAGGGGGAGTGGGAGAGGGAGAAGCAGGCTTCCCGTGGAGCAGGGAACCCAGTGCAGGGCTCGATCCCAGGACCCTTGGGATCATGACCTGAGCCGAAGGCAGACACTTAACGACTGAGCTACCCAGGCGCCCCGGCTTCTTAATATGGAGAAAACTGAAGGCCAGAGAGGGGCGTCGTAGGTACTGGTCACGCAGAGGGTGCAGAGGAATCCATTGTTCTGACTCTTGCAGCACCTGGTTGGCCCGTTTGCCTCAACTCCGGGAGCCACCTCCTTCTGTTGGACCTGGGTGGTGACGAGGGGAAGGAAGTGAACCCCTGGGGTAATCATCATGACAGCTTCCCTGGTGCCAGGCTAAGCGCTTTCCATCATGATCGCATGTGTTCCTCCCACTAAATCACGCAGGCAGGTGTTGTAAACATCCCCGTGACACAGATGGGGACACCGACGGATCTCACACCTAGCGCAGCCCAGGCTCACAGGCTCACTGGGTGGGCGCCCCGCCCCGCCCCCGACGCGGTGACGTCAGCGCCCCTCCTCCCGCCCCCTCGGACCGCCACAGACCTGGGCTATGGATCCACGTCCTCCTGGGCCTCTTTCCAGTTGTCCTTCACCTCCACAGGCGGCCTGAGTCTGCCTTGCTCCTGCTCCTCCTGCGAACACTCCCCGAAGCCTGGAGCCTTTCTTTCCTCAATTCCTGTGGTTCAACCACCAACAGCGCAGGTCTCCTTCATCTGACCTTGAACTCCAGCCTCCGGCAGCCACCTGCTCCTGGACGTCCTCCCACCCCCAATGTCCTCAGGTCCTTCTTACTCACTGTGTCCTAACTCATTTCTCTCTCCCCAAACTCCTCCTACCATGCTTCCCATCTCAGGGACAGCCCTACCGTTCACCCAGTCCTGTGGTCAGTCCCCCAGGCACTGTCCCCGGCCCTTCCTTTTCCTTATCTCCTACAGCTCCGGCTCCATCCCTTCTCTCCATTCTCGTGGCCTGGCTGCAGCTCAGGCATCCTCCTCTGCTCCTAGACCCTGGCCTCCAGTCTCCCATCCTCTTTTTTGTCTCCTCCCACCCAACACCAGGTGGTATCAGAAGGTCTCTCTACGCTCAGAGTTGACCCTTTTCCTCCCCTGCTCACAGCCCTTCAGTGGTGACTCTGCATCACCCCTGGACAAGGTCCCCGCCTTCAGCGAGGCATTTGAGGCTGGGATTCTCCGTCTGAACAAGCCTCATCTTGAACCCCCTTCCCCAGGGAGACAGTCACTGTGTCCCTCCCACCCCGGAATGGGACTGGACTCCTGGTGCCTGAGGCTCCCCTTCACCACCCCCCCACCTTCAATGTGGGGCCAGTTGAAGGTGGTGTTTCAGGGTACTGGCTCTGGAGTCAGAGAACCTGGGCTCAGACCCCCTGCTTCACCACTTGCTAGTTTGGGAGATTCTGGTGTGTCTTCCTTTCTCTGCTTCTGATTCTCATCCTTAAAATCAGATAATCAGAAGATCCCCTCATACAGTTTTCCAAGGAGTA